TTAACACAAAAATTAATCCTTCTGCAGAAATTGCCATTTGCGTTTATCTAAGAGTTTTACCCCATACAGACTCTGCGGCTTCAGTGAGGCAGCATCAGCCTAGCACGCCTGGCTCACAATTAACAGCCATCTCATTGTTACCACACTAGGGCTCAGCTCTTATTTTTCTATATCTTTAACTATATTAACAATGGTTTCCATAACACAACCTTAGCACATTAAGAGCAAAAACACATCAAGCAAATGTTAACCCAATAACCACCTTTAGAATAATTTTTCTTATGTTTTCTGATAGGACTCCTTCACCCCCCCAAAAGGCTCTATGTCTATTAGGGCCTTTATATGATCAAGTTCTTTATGCTTTTTTATGATTAGCGTATTATGAGCAGTCATGCATATTAGTACCAAGGGCATAAATGCATTTGCCAAACAAACTAAAATACCAGCAAAGGAGTTTAAATTAAAACACTCCTTCCACCCTGGATAATCTCATAAAATACCAGCACCCGGGAAACTTATTGATTAAAGTTCTAAATTGATTCTTATTTGGAAAGAGATCTGGGAAGGCCTTCTGCCTGTGTCACAGAAATTAGGGAGTCATCTATTGAAGCAAGCATCAGAAAGACAGATATCATCTTTAAAGTGAGCACTGGGGGCAGCTTTTCGAAATCCCTGAACACCTGATCTGCCTTGCCTGTCAGGCTTTCTCCTCGTGACCTTGTCATGGGTGGGATCTCGTGAGCTGGCCTTTTCGAAACCCCTGAAAACCTGATCCGCCTTGCCTGTCAGGTTTTCTCCCTCCTGTCCTTGTCATGGGTACGGTCTTGTTTTTTGGCTCCTGGCAGACGACAGAAGATGAGATGGCTGGATGGCATCACTGACTCGATGGACATGCGTTTGGGTGGACTCTGAGAGTTGGTGATGGACAGGGAGGCCTGGTGTGCTGCAGTTCATGGGATCACAGAAAGTCGGATGACTGAGCGACTGAACTGAACTGAACTGAATACTATTGACATTCGGGGGAAAGCTAAATACTAACTAAACTTTTCTTATCGATTCTTATAAAGTAGGTATTCTGATTTTTACTTTTCTCACCATTCTGGGCAACTTAAATGACTGCATTTTTAGTAAATATACCTCTCTTGGTTCCTGCTTCGAAGTGATTATTTTTTTTGAAATTGTAATTTTGTGGGTTTGAATGAAACTTTACTAACAACAGCTGCCTTATCATTGTTACTCCTGTAACAGGAAACTGGCTAATGATTCTAATACCTCAGTACTGGAAAGACGAAAGAGAAACAAGAGGCCCTTAATAACAGGCTATTTCCTATAATGCTTGCAACTTGCTGTCCAAATTCATGGTTTTAAGGATTGAAAACTGCAGGAGACTTCTCATTGACTGCATTTTAGTATGTAATTAAAATATCACTTATATTCCCAAAAAAAGGAAATAGCAAGTTATACAAGGCATCAGTAATTTTGACTAGATTTAAAAAGGAAAAAATTAGAAAAACCAACATAGCTTTATTATTCACTTTAATTCAGAAATTTTCAATTTATTAAAGTGGAAAGGAAATTAACATTGAGACACACATTGTGCTGCCTGCCTTATGTCCATTATCAGTTCTGTTCAGTTGCTCAGTTGTGTCCGACTCTTTGTGACCTCATGGGCTGCAGCACGCCAGGCCTCCCTGTCCATCACCAACTCCCGGAGCTTGCTCAAACTCATGTCCATTGAGTCGGTGATGACATCCATCTCATCCTCTGTCAGCCGCTTCTCATCACGCCTTCAATCTTTCCCAGCATCAGGGTCTTTGCCAGTGAGTCAGTTTTTCACATCAGGTGACCAAAGTACTGGAGTTTCAGCTTCAGCATCAATCTTTCCAATGAATATTCATGACTGATCTCCTTTAGGATGGACTGGTTGGATCTCCTTGCAGTCCAAGGGACTCTCAAGAGTCTTCTCCAA